GGTTGAGTGCACATGCACACATGCATGAAACTTTCAAGATCCCATGGTCATGTGACCAGTGGCATTTGCAGCACTTTGTATTTACATATGTGCAATTCTTGGCTTACTAACCATTTCCCATGCATTTTCTAATGACCATATACTAGTCTACACAACACTGCACTTTTGGTAATAAAAATGTAAGCTACAGTATATCAACCATTTTTGCATGAATGGATGAGGTATGCACACCTCTGTGGTCTTCTTGTCAGGTACTGCAAATTTCATTTTGACATTTTTCAAATCTATTTTGTATTTTGCAATTTTCTCCCCATTTTTGGGCAAATCAGTGAGAAAAGTATGCTCCTTGCCCTACAACTTTCACTATATCATCATGATATATAGTTATAATGATGCAATAGTTCACTAAATATTATCATAAAACTACCTTAAAGTAAATGTGAAGGTACAAGGACATACATATGTATTCTAAGTGGGCACATATTTTACCATTGATAGGGAGAGGGAACTCACCATCAGGGTGGTGGTGGCAAAGCAGGGGTGGATCACCATAAGCTGAGTGAGGGATGATGATAATGATGATGACAAGGGATGGTGGTGGTAGTGGAAAGAGTTGTGGTGTCAGAGTGAGTAGGTTTATTTAAGTTTTGTTTGCTCATCTCAGCAACTTTTGAAGCCGGCTGTGTAAGTTAAGTGGTGCACCCCCACAAATTTCAAACTCCAATTGAAATGCTAACAGTGTGTTGTGTGCAGACTTGAAGTTGACTGCCACTACTACAACCCAGTCTAAAAATCTACTATATAGAGTAATTGTACAGCCACAATGTCATAATGAAGGGTGTAGTGTGTGATGTCATGATTATATCATCAAATATCATCAATGTGTCCATTTTTGGATGAGATATTGGCAAATGAAAGATTACATCTATGGAGTCTGAATGGTCTGTTGGGTCTGTATTTGCTCTGTGGACCTGTACCATCTGTGGGTCAGTGCCTCTGTACCCAACCTAGGGTTTTGCTGATGCATCTCATTTGCTACTTACTACTTCTTTTTAGTGTTGTGCTGGGCCTGGCCTCAGGCCCTGTGCCAGGCTGGGCTGTGGGGATGGCCCATTGGGGCCTAGGGCCTGGCCTGATGTTTTGAAAAACCATGAGCTATGGCCTGGGGCCACAGCTTTGTGGCTGTGCTGCAGACTCATTCAGTGGGATATGTCATGCACTCCCAGGGTGTTCAGTTACTTGGTTTACTAACAAGATGGGTACAAGACAACTACTTTCTATCTGTCACCTCATCCTCATGTTTTCTGGGCTTGAAGTGGTCTGCTGCCACTTTTGAAGTGCTCTCTTACGTTCACTTGGCAGCCTCCCCTCCTTCTCCCCCATCTCCTTGCCTGATGATTTTCAACCACTGTAGTATCTCCATCAGCTTCTATTCAAACCTCTTGCTTTTCTGAGGTTTCATACTACTCAATCCATGCTTTTGAATGGTGTATGTCATGTCATGATTTGTGGAGCTGGTGTGGAGGAATTCATATTATTGTGGATGGAGGTGTATCTGAAAAATATTGCCAATATCTCAGGACTGAGGAGTGCAGATTCAGTCAATTGCTTTTTCTATGTATTCTCCACTCAGGGAATGCTGCCTGTGGTGGCCTTTGTACCTTGCTTGCAGTGTGGCAAATGGGATAGAATATGTTGTATGGCACATTGGGTCCAACACTGTCAATTTCTGATGATGGCTGCTGCATATGCTTTCACAGACTACAGATGTCAAGGTCAAATGCTTCAAAGTGTAATTGTAGACATTGCCATGCCCCCTTCCAGTGGACTGAATCTCTTCAATTTATATGTTGCTTACAGAGGAGTGACTAGCAACAGACAAGACTTCCAAGTTGCACTATGCCTCATTATCAAATGCCCAGGGCAAGCTTGTTGTGTGCAGAAATGCACATGACACATACACAATTCAGAAAATTTATCATGAGTATTCCCCTGCACTCAGTCATAGTCATTACCCTGATGGCATGAATTATCAGACCTTGATCAGATCAGCAGTGAAGTAGCATCTCAACTGTGGATTGAGACCAGAAGAGCAAGACCAAGATGACCTTTGGTGATTCAAGAGGTATATTTACTCCTACCACACTTGATGTGCAATCCACTGGTGCCAGTGAAATTTTTCCAAAAAATATGGAGGCTTGTGGCTGGTGATGGTCTATCTGGAAATATACCTGTTGAGTGGGATATGAAAGGCAACCTATCTCAAGAATCATTTTGGAGGCTGCAGGATGGGGCACTGAAACATGCATTCTGGGCTCACTACATTGTAGCTAACTTTCCTAGCACAGGCAAATAAAACTGGTGCTCTGTGCAAATGGAATCACCAAGCCTCAGTCAAGGCTTATACTAAGGTGGGTGACTTTCATGGTACTGGTGACAAGCATTATCCAGCCAAAGAAACCAACAAAATGTCAAAGGCTATGCAGACACAGTGCACATGATGAGGAGAATGAGGCAATCAAGATGGTGTACCTGCTGAAGAACTGCATTTCAGTAGTTGTCATAAAGCTCCACAAAGAGTTCATGATCCAGATCTCAGACTCAGAAAGCAATGCAGAAAGTGAAACCAATGTTAGCCCCTCAAGCTCATCTTCTGCCCCCTCTCCTTGCATGATTGCACCATTGTGTACTGACCCTATTCTCAACTTCTTGTTGTCAGTGAGACCTGGTCTCACAGATTTCCATAACCACTTCATTAACATGGGATAATTGATAATAATGTGTTGAACACTTTCTTCTCTTGGCTGATTCACATGCAGGAGAATATGGTGAGAACTGAGTTAGGGTGGTTGATGAACTCCCTTCAGCTATAGGATCTGCTAGTTGCAATGCATGAATAGTGAGACTCATCTATGTAGACTCATAGGATCATCATTTAAAACCACTAATCTTGAATCCCACTTGTATTCAGCCTTTAACCTTGCTTGCAGAGGGTGATTTGCAAATATCCTCAGAGGAGTGCAGCAGTCCATTTTTTGGTTGGATTCACATGAACAGATCATATTTCACAAGTACAGCTAACCCTTGTTTTTTCTCATTATGCTATGTAGTATGTATGATGCATAGATTTCTCTGTTGTTAGACATGGGCATACTGAAGTTTACACTTGGAGATGGAGAAGCAAGATAGATGCACAGGCTACTTTGTTGCCATTTACTGACCCATATCCCAGCCCATCCAGCATACTCATAATGGATAATCACCATATCCACCATGGTGAAGAGGTTCACCAGTTGGTTGAAAATGATCATTGTATGTCTTCCAGTGTGTTGAAGATGTCTCAACTAATGACTTGGTAGTGTGTAGGCTTGTTTATCTCCCACAGTACAGCCCAGACTATAACCCAATCAAGCAAGCATTTTCTGCAGTCAAAGCATACTTGTGCTGCCACTACCATGACACCTCTTTGATGTCTATCATTCACAGGTGCCAGAGTATCACACCTGATGAGGCTGAAGGCTACTTCAAGGCTGCTGGGTATATCATGTAGTATCATAGCTATATCATCATGTATCTCACTATGTACACTCACTGTGTACACCCAAGAATTTTGTATGCATCTTCAACACTGCAACTGAGTGTGAATGCAAAAGTTCAACAATGTGAGACTTGAGTATTATGCCAAAATGCAACATGATGACAGGAGATTTATGTAGATATTTTTTAAACCCCTGCAGTTCTGGCTCAGCATTTTCATCTACAAAATAGCTGTGTGGAACAGATGACCACTGCTTGAACATCTTACAGAAATAAAAGAGGTCATAGTCTTGCTCTGTTGAAATGTGAGTATCATCATCATCATTCTGCATGAGGGGAGCCACAAAATGACAACTGCCTCCTTCATAATAGCACTTCATATAGGCTACTCCTTTTGGCATGTGCAATTCCTGAGTATCAGAGATTGTAGTATTAATTTGCTTGTGTTTTGCACCAGGCCCATTCCACCACACAAAACTACCTTTTTTCAGATGGACTGCATCACCTGCTGAGATACTGACACTTGCCAAAAGTTGGTTGTTGACATCAGGGAGAATATCTGGTCCAATTCTGTTCATCTTGAGAATGGACTTGTATGATAGAGTGTGGCACACACCCAGGTGGGACTCAGCACACTGAAAGTAGCATGACAGTTGACTAGGAGATGGGATTGGGGGCAATGATGGAGTACTCCTACCCTCCACCACATGTCACTGAGTAGGAGCCTGCAGGGCTGAGGGAATACATGTGATTGACCCAGAGGGAGCAGTAGTCAGAGGGTGGAGAATGCTGGGGTCAAATTGAGCAAGCATGCATATCAAAATAGCTGAAGCAATCAAGTTCAGATCTGCTGTAGGAGGGTGGCTGCTTGAGTAGAGGTCTTGTGTGCATAGTGGAGCACTGGGGCTTTGTTTTCCATGTTGAATGACTCTATATTTGGTGGAACAGCTATTGTGGCCTGGCCATCCTTCTAGAGACATAATTACCACATTGCACAGAGGGATCATTTGAAAACTTACCAGTGCAAGGCACCAGTCATAGACCATGGCAGGTGTGAGGGGAATTGACCAATGGGCCTGACATAAGTCATTCCTTCACCATGTTCATTTTTGTATGCCTTTTTCAGTTTCAACTGCCACTGTGCAAGGTGGTTATCAAAATCAGCTTTCTTAGTATGACTAGGAGTTCCCTGTAACCCAAAAAATGTTAGCTACATTCAACAAATTCATAAATTACATACACTAGCATTGCCAGAGTCAGAGTCATCCTTAGAACTGCCTGACCCATTGGACTTCAAGACCCAAGCCAGCAGATTTACTTACATATACATATTCCACAGCCTGAAAGTGAAATACCAGCAACAAGCATTGACATTCAAGTCCACTGGCAAGGGGATCAGCCCTGGTGATCCATATCATCAGAACTGTAGGAATGTGAATCCACACTCAAGGCAGTTTAGGGATGGTTTGGTGGCCTAGGGGTAAGGCACCACAGAGTTATGTATTGGGGTGACCCAGGTTCAATCCCTGGTCTAGCCAGTATTTTCAGTCCAAAAAGAACCTCCAAGGTATGTGTAATTTGCACTACATCCTCCATCTTGTACTTACCATATTTTTGAAACAGTTATTGCAGAGTTCCCATTCTGAGAACATAGCTGTATTAGAAAAAAGCATAGTAAACACACCTACTACACTTTGTCCTAATCTTACTATGCTTTTTTGCCAATACTACTACTACACCTTGCTACTAGCACTACCCACTATGCATTTTGCTAATACTACTATGCAATTTGCCTAATACTACTACATTATCCCAATAGTATTACCCTTTTTACTAATGTAACTTATGGTAGTAGTCCACAGACTAACACAATGCACTCCCCCATAGTAGGAAAAGGCCTTTAGTTGGTTGACATCATCACACCTAGGTCAAATACTACTAGGGGCAGTTTATTCTTCAACACCCTGGGCATGACCCTAGCAAGCACTGTCCCAGAGCCCCAACACAATTTCCATGCAGCCAACTGGGACAGGTTCCAGCAGCCCACTTCAGACCAATCTCCTGATGCTTGGCCCCCAAAACTTTGGCCACCACAGCTGAGTTCCAACAGGCCACCCACTCCCTAATACAAGCAATCCAGGCCATCATGGACCAGGAGGTCCCTGGAAGCAAGCCCTCCCCCACATGCCAAATGGTGGTGGACCATAACCTCATGGAACTTCTCATGAAACTGGCTATGGCCAACCCCAAGTCCTTCAAGCACAGGTTGGACCCACATCAGCAAACCTGACATTTCCCCCCAGCTTTCCAGTGCTCCCAGAAATTTTGACAAATGATTCCAGACCTCCATGACCCTCCCAGACCCTCCAACCCTCCAGATGCACAACCACAGTCAGGACAAAAGTTGTAGCCCACAATCACAGGACCATGGGAATATGATTACCTCAGCAATATCTCCTTTTTTAGGTGAAATATTTGCAAAGTTCACATGGGGACACAGTTTGTCAAAAAAAGAAGAGTGGCTGTACAGTCATGATATCATAATGGAAGTTGTAGGACTGGATCACAGGATCATGGGAATGTGCTTATCTCATTGAAATGCCCAAAAGTGGGTGAGAAAATTGCAAAATACAACAAGAAATTGAAGTCTCAAAAAATAAACTTCAAAGACGTCATTATGAAAGTTGTAGTGGCTGACAAGAGGACTCCAGAGGTATGCTTATCTCATCCATCCATGCAGAAATGATTGAGATACAGGCAAAATACAATTAATGTAGTGTAGTGTGCATTTTTATTACCATAAGTGTAGAGTTTATTAGTAATTGATTAGCAAAGTGCTGTGTAGATTTTTGATTACCAAAGTGTAGTAAACTCAGCTTTTTTGACTACCAATCAAGTGGGGTGTGTTTTGTAGTGTTTGATTAGTAAAGTGCAGTGTACACTGTTATTACAAGAAGTGTAGCATTGCAGCATATTTTTGACTACTTAATAAGTGTTGTGTTTGAATAGGAAAGTGTAGTGTAGTGTTTGCATGTTTGACTACCAAATATTTGTAGTGGAACTAGGAATTGCAGTGTAGAGCTGATTAGCAAAAAAAGTGTAGTCATGATTAGGTGGTTGTGTAGTGGGCACAGCCACAATAGCTTGAAATTCTGCAAAGTCACAAAAATACCCCAAAAACATGATATAGTAGACACCAAAACTCATGCCTTTCATGCAAGTGGCCAAAGCTGACCAAACAAAGGCCAATTCCTACTATGGGGTAGTGTATGCTATTAGTCCACTACTCCCACCTATTTAATTAGTGAAAAGGATAATACTATTAGACAAGTGTGGTAGTGGGTAGTAGTAATAGCAGTATACAAGGGCCAGCATAGCATACTGTATGGGGACTCTTCTTTTGAACTACTTGAATACAGACCTTTCTGTCTGGAAGCAAGTACTCTCTGAGAAGATCCTTATTGTTGGGCTGCTGACTCAAGTCTTCTCTTTGAGTCATCATCACATGTTTTTTTTCCTGTGGTAGCATGGTCTAACTTCAAACCCAAAAATCCACCCTTGATACCTTCTCAACAACTCATGGTCTGGCCCTCCACTTGCACACCAAGCAAGTATCCCTAATACCCATCTATAAAATCACTAACATCAGATATAACCTATGCTGATCTACCCAGGCTTGAGCAGCTTCCTTACCTCTTAGCCCAACAGCTCAGCCTAGTGCTGAGGCTCTCATTGATACCCCTTTACTGTGCTTGACTCCTCTTGAAAGTCAGTACTCAACCCCTGTTGACAAGTCTGTTGGTGATGTCACTTGCAAGTACAGTTGTTGTTCAATCCACTTCTAGAAGTCCAAGTCTGGTGCCCCAAAGTGCTGCTGTTGATGCACCCAGCTTGAGGTCCCACTCACTGGAGTATCCCAGGGATGCTGAATCCCTGGAGGCTATAAAAGCTAGTGCTGTTAGAGCTACAGTACCAGCTCACAGTGTACATGTTCACTTACCTGGTGATGTCCAAACTAATGTGTCACTCTCCTCATCAATGAGTGAAACTGAGGTTGAATGTAATGATCTGCAGTCATGGACCACAGTAGTGTGGAAGATGTTGCATGAAAATGCACCCATGGTAAGCTTATGCATGAGCAGGCATGTATTGTCCAAGAAGCTGAAAGGTGCCTGACCCTAGATGAGCAGGAAAGGATCAGGAGGAGATCCTCATCTAGGTGTGACAATGTGCAACAGAATGACATGCTCAAACCTGATGATAGCCCCAAGGAGCCAAAGGGCAGAGGCACTGACCACAAAACTGGGGTGCACTCAACATCAGTAGTGACAAGCTGAATGTTGAGGCACAGCATGCCACACTTGCATTGTGGAACACTGCTCATAAGTTGGCTAATGAAAGTGAAAGTGATCAACCAGGACCCTCTAGGAATGAATGACAGAGAGAAATAGCACTCCCCAAAGAGCATATTTGCTCTTTCTGTGACTCCATTTTGCTGAGGTTGAGCCCTGACAGTGTGCCACCTGCTGTCAAGGAGGTCAGGCACTCATCCTCTCATTTCCTGCTGCTGAAAAACTTGTCATAGGTGGCACATCATGCACCAGGGTGCTGTTGGACATAAAGGGCAGCCAGAATTGAGGAGTCAAGAGGTGTCAAGTTATATCAGATTCAACTAGTATTGATAGGCAGGTGAAATCATGACCTTGGTCCATGTGCAAATATTGGTTAATTGCAAGGGATTGAGTGTATGAACATTTTTCTAGGAGCTAATGATGGGAAGCCCAAGGTGTAAGGAGCTCAGCAAGAGTCCAATCAGGAAGATTGGAGAGTTGAATGATGAGAGTGAAGCAATCAAAAACAGGTATGTGTGCACTGATGCCCCCCTTTAGCTCCCCAATGTGATATCTCTCACTTTCTACCCAATGGATTGGTTTAAAACTCAATACACAGATAGCCCAGGACCTTCTGAGTCAGACATTATCTTTTGACAGTTGAAGAAGCAGTGTGGAACCTAATCAACTCCTATAGCTCTAGGGAGCTTTGGAATGTACCAGACTAGAGTCCAGTGTGAGTAAGCAAGGGTCCCAACACTGGACTCAGCTAGACTAAGTGCACTTCTAGGTAAAACAACAATAAACAAAGGGTGACAAATGCCCCACAATGGCCTTGGTGGGTCTAGCCTTCTCCTTCCTGTCATCCTCATCCTTACAGGTGTCTTCCCAGTTGCTCCTAGTCACAGTCAGGATGTGCTGTATGATGGCTATTTCATCATCCTGATCTTCAGGATCCATGTGGGGCAAGAACACCCCCCAATAGCCAAGGCAAGCCTCACACATGTCAGACTTGATGGAAAAGATGTCTCATCATGCTCAAATGTGTGGGCAATCCCACAGAATCATCAGGTTCATGTTCAAGAATCTCTGCCTGCACCTCAGTGAAGATCTCATTGCTGAGTTGGGAGTTCCCCTTTGCTTCTTTGTACTGTCTCACATAGGAGAGATTTGTGGCCTCCTGTGGGTCATAAGTATACAGCTGAGCATAAGAAGGCTGCAGACCCTGTGGTAGCATGAGGGCTCCCATGAGATGGTGAACAGTTCCATGAATGCAAAAGAAGCAGGACCTGCCCCCTGGACAGTCTGCCTATCCACCTCTACTCCCACTGAGGTAAATGCCAGGGCATTGTTATACTGACAAACATTCTCCCTAAGCTCCCTCTGGTCTTGGGGGTCATCAAAGAGACCTTGGAGAACCCTTGGCCATTGCTGGATTGGAGGGAGTAGCACCTGGCCTTGAAGACAACAAATGCCAAAGCAAGGGTGAAGTGCACTGGAGTTGGACAGCTTTTCTGAGAGAAAATGGAGGGCATGACAATTGGGTCATTGGATATTCATGAGACCCACATAGTGATGCTGCACTGGCTCAGTGTATGGCCTACCACCTGGAGGGATGCAATGTGGAACTGGTGGTGGTGGTGGTGGTGGGTTTGGGTCTGGATCTGGCCCAAAACTGGGATCAGGGCTGGGAGATGGATCAGGGGGTGGTGGTGGTTCATGCTCAGCAGTTGTCTGAGTGTCTCTCCACTGTTCAGCATAGTAACATAGCTTGTCCTTGTCCCTGGGTACCCACTTTTCAAAATCTGTTCTACCATAGTTAGTTTTTGTGGTAACAATGCGCATATGTGCTGCAGAAAAAATGACTGCCAGTACCAGCAAGAGCAGCAAGGTAGTGGGCAGCTGGCAGATCACAAACAACAAGTGCAATGGCACTTTGCAAGACCCTTCCATTATGGTGATTCACAGTTCTTGAGCAGCAAACCCCTTGCTCCCAGGAAGTAGCAAGTTGGGTGATAAGTGGGCATATGTAGTGGTTGAGGTTTGCCAGTGAAGGTTGCCTTGGACCAGGAATGATGCCAGTAAGATACACATTTTTGGGTTTGTATCTCATGTCAAGGGGACAGTTGAGGCACACCATTGGAATGATACCTGATGAAGTGCTAGCACCATGCAAGCTCATACCCTCTGGGTTGAAAAAGTTGACA